CCCACATGCATAAATCATGACGAGTGGAACAAACCGTGTTCATAGCCCACAGCACAGCAGGTGGAACCACACTTGCTGCGCGCGCGCGCGCACACACACACACACACACACACACACACACACACACACACACACACACACACACACACACACACACACACACACACACACACAGAGTAGAACAATCACATTACTAGCTGTACAGCTCTGAAACTAGAGCAGTCACACTACTTACACGCACATGCGAGTGGGACCTGACACTTCCGTTATTGCACAATGACGCTCGTGTAGTTGACGCTCGTGTAGTTGACGCTCGTGTAGTTGACGCTCATGTAGTTGACGCTCGTGTAGTTGACGCTCATGTAGTGACGCTCGTGTAGTTGACGCTCGTGTAGTTGACGCTCGTGTAGTTGACGCTCATGTAGTTGACGCTCGTGTAGTTGACGCTCGTGTAGTTGACGCTCGTGTAGTTGACGCTCGTGTAGTTGACGCTCGTGTAGTTGACGCTCGTGTAGTTGACGCTCGTGTAGTTGACGCTCGTGTAGTTGACGCTCGTGTAGTTGACGCTCGTGTAGTTGACGCTCGTGTAGTTGACGCCTCGTGTAGTTGACGCTCGTGTAGTTGACGCTGTGTAGTTGACGCTCGTGTAGTTGACGCTCGTGTAGTTGACGCTCGTGTAGTTGACGCTCGTGTAGTTGACGCTCGTGTAGTTGACGCTCGTGTAGTTGACGCTCGTGTAGTTGACGCCTCGTGTAGTTGACGCTCGTGTAGTTGACGCCTCGTGTAGTTGACGCCTCGTGTAGTTGACGCTCGTGTAGTTGACGCTCGTGTAGTTGACGCCTCGTGTAGTTGACGCTCGTGTAGTTGACGCTCGTGTAGTTGACGCTCGTGTAGTTGACGCTCGTGTAGTTGACGCTCGTGTAGTTGACGCTCGTGTAGTTGACGCCTCGTGTAGTTGACGCTCGTGTAGTTGACGCTCGTGTAGTTGACGCTCGTGTAGTTGACGCTCGTGTAGTTGACGCTCGTGTAGTTGACGCTCGTGTAGTTGACGCCTCGTGTAGTTGACGCCTCGTGTAGTTGACGCTCGTGTAGTTGACGCTCGTGTAGTTGACGCTCGTGTAGTTGACGCTCGTGTAGTTGACGCTCGTGTAGTTGACGCCTCGTGTAGTTGACGCTCGTGTATTTGACGCTCGTGTAGTTGATGCCTCGTGTAGTTGACGCTCGTGTAGTTGACGCTCGTGTAGTTGACGCCTCGTGTAGTTGACGCTCGTTGTAGTTGACGCTCGTGTAGTTGACGCTCGTGTAGTTGACGCTCGTGTAGTTGACGCTCGTGTAGTTGACGCTCGTGTAGTTGACGCCTCGTGTAGTTGACGCCTCGTGTAGTTGACGCCTCGTGTAGTTGACGCTCGTGTAGTTGACGCTCGTGTAGTTGACGCTCGTGTAGTTGACGCTCGTGTAGTTGACGCTCGTGTAGTTGACGCTCGTGTAGTTGACGCCTCGTGTAGTTGACGCTCGTGTAGTTGACGCTCGTGTAGTTGACGCTCGTGTAGTTGACGCCTCGTGTAGTTGACGCCTCGTGTAGTTGACGCCTCGTGTAGTTGACGCTCGTGTAGTTGACGCTCGTGTAGTTGACGCCTCGTGTAGTTGACGCTCGTGTAGTTGACGCTCGTGTAGTTGACGCTCGTGTAGTTGACGCTCGTGTAGTTGACGCTCGTGTAGTTGACGCTCGTGTAGTTGACGCTCGTGTAGTTGACGCTCGTGTTTCAACCAGAATTTGACTCCTAAATTATATTGTGTTAGATTACTTTTTTTTTTACCACTGCAGTTTTTACCACTGCAGTTTTTACCACTGCAGTTTTTACCACTGCAGTTTTTACCACTGCAGTTTTGTGGTTTTAATATAACGTTACGTAAGTTGTCAGTAGTCGCCTCACATGCTCTCCTTCACAACAGTAAGGGTATTCCATATTTATTATCAGAATATTTAACTGGAAGGGGTACACAGAGAATGGGATATAATTGATCATAGGAAAGGGAGGGTAGTTCCAATTCCTTGGATTAAAAACTCTTCGCCATTTTATAGTGGCTTCTTGATTCTTTCTTTCCAGTGAGTTTAAAATAAGGTTAATTTGTCTTCCCTTTCAATTTTTATGACTATAATATTTCTGTAATTCTTAAGTTTTTTTTCAAGACAGCGCTTCATAACCCTTACGGGCTTGGTGCTTCCCATTAATATATCAACACTAACAACAACTATTACAACAAAAACAACAATAACAAAACTAACCAAAAAAAAAATAGGTAACCATTGGCAGAATTTTCTGTTTCTTCCTATTTGAGGGTCAGAGGAGGGGAGTCCGGGGGGAGGGGGTGCGGGGCAGGGGGTGCGGGGGAGGGAGTGCGGGGGAGGGGGTGCGGGGGAGGGGGTGCGGGGGAGGGGGTGCGGGGCAGGGGGTGCGGGGGAGGGGGTGCGGGGGAGGGGGTGCGGGGGAGGGGGTGCGGGGCAGGGGGTGCGGGGGAGGGGGTGCGGGGCAGGAGGTGCGGGGGCAGGGGGTGCGGGGGAGGGGGTGCGGGGGAGGGGGTGCGGGGCAGGAGGTGCGGTGCAGGGGGTGCGGGGGAGGGGTGTGCGGGGGGAGGGGGGTGCGGGGGAGGGGGTGCGGGGGGAGGGGGTGCGGGGGGAGGGGGTGCGGGGCAGGGGGTGCGGGGCAGGGGGTGCGGGGGGGAGGGGGTGCGGGGCAGGGGGTGCGGGGCAGGGGGTGCGGGGGAGGGGGGGAGGTGCAGGGGGGGGGGGAGGGGGTGCGGGGGGCAGGGAGGAGGCGGGGATGATGGTGTTATACTACATTATAATTCTTATCTAAATAATAACGATAATACAACACATTATTTTTCTTCGTGATTAAATAAAGTATATTTCGTCTTATACTTGTTATCTTCCTCAGATATTTTTCGTTCTTGTTAATCATCCCCCAGATACTTTTCATTGCCGCTTATCATCACCCCAGATATTGCCTTTTTTATTGTCATCCTCCAGACATTCTTCTCTCTTCTATAGTTCATTTTTTTAATCATCAATTTTATAATTTTCCATCAGACTGTTGTCACTTGCTTCCTCTTCTTTACACTAAACATTCTCAAAATGAATATTACTCCGCTAAATATCGCTCATTTCTATTACAACGCAAAATTCATTCATTCATTACTATTACAACACAGAATTCCTTTATTTCTTTTCTATTACAACACACAGTTCCTTTATTCATTACTATTACTACTCTAAATACCTTCTTCGTTGCTCACTACTTGAAATATATTCATTCATTTCTATTACAACACAAAAATTCCTTCATTCACTTCCATTACTATACTGAAGACCATGAATTCATTTCTATCACTACACTAGTTCCTTCATATATTTCTACCATTCATTTTTCACTCTACCTGCTCATTTTCTCTAATTCATCTTTTAGGGTTGGAGAGTTTTGATTTCTTGTCTTGCATATGATATTTGATATGACCGTACTGGTTTAGTACTTTCGTGATACCTGGAGTCTACCTGGAGGGCATTCCGGGGATCAACGCCCCCGCGGCCCGGTCCATGACCAGGCCTCCCGGTGGATCAGGGCCTGATCAACGAGGCTGTTACTGCTGGCCGCACGCAATCCAACGTATGAACCACAGCCCGGATGATCCGGCACCGTCTTTAGGTATCTGTCCAGCTCCCTCTTGATATTATTTTACCTGAACGTGATTCGGACCAATTTCTTGGACTTGTCCTGGAAGCCTCACATTACCTCTCTGAAAACAACTTACCATAGCCGGCTGAACCTTCTTAAAACCTTCGCTCATATTTCTTGGGAGGCGGATCGACGAACTCTCCTTTGTCTTCATTCTCCCCTAGTCTTTTCGAAACTAGATTATGGTGACCAGATATACTCTGCGGCCTCTCCTACAACTCTTTCTAAACATGATCCCATGTTTGTCTAGGTGCTTCTCGTTCTTACCCTGTAGAGAACCTGTAAGCAGAGGCGAATGTTCCATCTTTGCACGATCGGCATGATGTCCATTGTCTTCGATATTTTGTCCGCTTTCATCATCTTCACGATCCTTCTACAAACAAGATGGTAACGGACGTTAGAGGTTCATTATTTGATTACACTCTTGACTTCTCTTCATTTGCCTCATTTATATGTTCATCTGGCATATAACTTTTTTCTTCCTCCTTGGGAGGTTCCTACATTTCGAAAATGACTTGGGGGTTATGGTAAGCAGCAACCTTAAACCAAGACAACAATGCCTAAGCGTACGTAATAAGGCAAACAGGTTACTGGGATTAAAGAGGGACATTTA